AAGATGGCGGGCCAAAACATAATCAAAGCCTAATTCAAGGAATTTATTTTGGTAAGAGGGCGCAGCGCCCCTGTTCCCCGGTTCAGAAAAAACTCTGATATCGCTGATAAGCCTCCCCATCAACACTCTGATGCACAGTCAGATCCGCTGATTGGTTCACTGATGATATAGGCGCCCAATCCAGAGCCTCTGGCTAGACCCGCCCAAAGGGAGGCTCGTCCTCTCTAGCCCCATTTCAGTCCCAAAGCCAGGGCTATTATCTGTATTTTAACAGACTTATCTTTTAAATTGAGGTGTATTTATTGTTCTCTTCAAAGTTTATTTTTCTCTGAAATTGTAGGGAGGATGGTCCTCCCTTTCCTCAATGGACGAGCCTCCACTGAGTAAAGTAGAGTTATTAACTAGCAGTGTTATTTAACATACTTTTATTCTGATAAGTATTGTCAAGTTCTCTGGGTTTTTGGCATTTATTTGAGTGTTTGCCCACATTTGAGAGGCTTGAGGGACAACTGGAATCCTTTTTCCTTTTCTTTATTTCAACTTTTCAAGGACACATTAGGATTCTTTCAGGTTGAAAACCTTTAAAAAATACCAAAGGACAAAATAAATCAATTACAGCAGTTTTGCTTTGCAATTTCATATATTATAACCTAAATTAATCAGTAACCAAGTATTTTACTCAAACTCAATGTATTTAATAGTTAAATAAGTACTTTAATTGACCTAGTTCCCCCCAACCACACATTTGCCATACTGTATGTGACCCGCTCTATCGAAATCAGTCGAAAGTCGCAACGGCTCATTTCAAAATAAACGTGGATTTGCGTAAAAAAATAGTTTTTCGGGGATCGGGTGTTTTGTTTGATTTTAAATAAACAAAGTCTTGGCTTTCAGAATATGACATTTTTATTTCCAAAATCACACGATAAATACATGTTTGAAGCTTGTAAAGGGAGGATGACAGCTCTCCCTCGCCACTCTGCTCTTCCACAGCGCCGCTTCCCCTCCCTCCGCTGACATTATAGAGGCTTCTCAATACTCAAATTTCCCCTCCTCGACTCCTCGGTCCTCGGTCCTCCGGTAGTGACCCGGAAATGAATTTCAGCGCACCATTTTGAAGGACATCTAATTTCTCTAAATGCACACCGAGGACCGAGGATCGAGCATCGAGGAGGCTCTCTGGAGGAGCTATAACCGAGGATACACTGATGGTTCCTCCACGGCTCCTCCGCGGATGCATTTCCGGGAACGGTGGAGGCGTGACGCACGGCCGGACTTATCTCAGTCAATAGAGGCTTCTCAATACTCAAATTTCCCCTCCTCGACACCCCTCCTCGGTTCCCCTCCTCGAGACTTAGACCCGCCCACAGGAGATGCGAGCGGAGGACCGAGGAGGGGAACCGAGGAGAGAGGAGGGGAAGCAGCAGACGTTTAAAGAAATGAGAACTCCTCTCCTCTGAGCGGTCATATTAAAGCGACGTCCGTTCATTATTACGTGGCAACAGCTGCATCAGCTGTCGAGTGTTTTGTCATAGCGCTGTATTTTATAATCTCTGTTAGATCAGCTGAACATTGTTCCCCCACATATTTACTTTGAATTCATTGAGAGTGCGGTATACCGTATAATGAGACAATAACAGGCACAGATGCGGATACACACACACAAATATATTTATATAAATATATACAATTTAAAGTATGAGAGCACTCTCATAATAACGTAACACAATCAGAGACTGGATATATCCCCCCCCTCTCTTTGGTCGCTGAAATGGGGAATTGAAATTACGGGCCAAAAGTTGTATTTACAAGTATTAACTTGTAATAATAATAAGCCACTTACAATTTTCCGTGAGATCAGGGAGCAGATATAAGATGGAAGTTTCCCTAACATACAAAGCCATGTTAGGGAAACTTCCATCTTATATCTGCTCCCTGATCTCACGGAGAATTGTAAGTGGCTACTGCCTGAGATCGCATGCTGTGGTTTTATTAAATGTGCCAACTGCTACCCTTAGCAAAAAAATCTATAAAATCCTATAGAATCTTGTAGAAATCTATAGAACATAGTCGCCATGCTAAAGAAATCTGTAGAAATCTATAGAAATCTCTAGATCATTCTGTAGAATACTATACATTTGTACTTTTCTATAAACTTCTATAATTAAAACTATAACAATCTAAAGAATTCTATAGGACAGAACCGACTCATGACATATCTGTAGAAATCTATAGAAATCTCTAGATCATTCTGTAGAATACTATACATTTGTACTTTTCTATAAACTTCTATAATTAAAACTATAACAATCTAAATAATTATATAGGACAGAACCGACTCATGACATATCTGTAGAAATCTATAGAAATCTATAGCATTCAAAGAAAACATTTTTCTCTCTGGTGCAACCTATACTAAATTCTATAGAATGATATAAAACTCGTCTTTAAATTGGAATAGAGAAAATCATAGTAATCTACATCATTTTGTGGAACTGAGCTGCTTTGCAAAAGCTGTACGGGTAGATCCCTTTGAAATCTTTACAAATGTATACTGGATTATGTGCCCAATTAAATTATGTAACCTATCTAAACAAGTTTCTATGATAAAGTATTCTATAGAATTCTATTGAGAAAAACAGTGATCCACAACATTTTATGAAACGCATTTAATAATCTGTAGATTTTTTATATCATTCTACAGAACTAGAATTATACCAAATAAATACTATTCTATACAGCAGATATACCGGTACTTGGCTATTATACCAAATGCTGGATATCCATATATTTGCACAATTTTGAACGGACTTCATTGTTGCTTATATGCGGATACAAACAAACAAAACAGTAGAGTCACTATTAATGCATTTATTACAATGAAAGGTTCACCCTGTACAGTGTATAAGAGTTATTTACAGTGAGAAAGACGGTAAACTGGAACTCATCAGTCTAAATACAAAATACATCTATATCTAGTCTAGCTCAAACTTCGGGAGTTTGCACAAATACATCCTGTCACCTACATTCATCATCACCCCTTTGTTTGCAATCTTCGTGGCTGGTACTGCAGACAACCTCAGTGAGGTCTGTACCAGTACAGTATCACTGGCAGTGTCACACTTTACAAAGTTATCATATGCACGGAACTGTGGAGCTTCTGGGACCAATGTCCTGTAGAATACATAGAGTCTATCACATCTACAATCTCCAATGCAGCCACATATGTTGTCCACCACTACCAATGAATGAATTCTACCCCAGTCCCCATTATCCAATAGGATTACAGAGTTGTCTCGCTTTAGATTTTCGCAATATGCGGAACTTGTATACACTTTACTGTCAATGATTGCTCATGTGTAACAAGACAGCGGAGAACCAAAATGTACAACATTTTGGTATTCCTGCAGTGCAAATCGCTCTGCAATAGTGAATTGTCTGATACGTGGTGTATCAAAGACGCTAACACTTGGCTGGATCTGGAGAATTTTCTGAGTATTTTTTGTTTTACTCAACATTCTACACAAGAAAGTTCCAGCTTCATCGGACATTTGTTCCATATATTCCTCTGCATACAGTGTCAGTTTTTGTCTGGCAAAGAAATATCGGAAGACTTGCATTTGCACTGCCTGAGTCCCGGAAAACAAATCCAAAAGCTTTCCACAGGCATCCTCAAAAACAAATGCCAAGTACGACCAAAGTGGACCCCAGTGCCGCACACTATTGGCCAGATGTGTCAGTGTGTGTATGTTGTAGGACATATGTTGTACTCCATACAATTTTTGTATCATGGTGACAAAAAGTATACTTAACGTCTAAAATATTGCTTTCCTGCAATGTTAACTATGTTGAAGCACTTATTTTAACTGATATTATACACATTAATTATACTCTTATGTATGTAGATAGTATAAGAAATGTGCAGAATATGACAGTTTAATGGTGGAGGTACTGTATACACACATATTGATAGATGTCTTGTAATGCGCTGTTGAGGAACCTGCGACCCAAGTTGTGTATAAGATCAATACACCTTTGAAAATCTTGAAAGGGATGTGCAAAATATCTAAAGAATACCTTTATTAGTCCCACAGAGGGGACATTTGCAGCGTTACAGCAGGAAAGCTTAGTGTTGCATATCTTACATGCATTAAAATGTACTAAGTTATAATATAATAAACAATATGCTAAAAAAAGATTTTCAAAAATACAGATAAAAAACAAATCAAATCTACAAATCTAATCCTGTTGCAGTTCTTAGGATTTAGCAGCCCGGTATTACAGTTATTAAAGATGGCATATGTATATAAAGTATATATTGCACATAGTTTGACGGTATTTAACAGCAGCAAGTTACACAATGTTATAATCGGGAGATAAGTTTCCATTCATTTCGGCAAGCCTGGGCAACAACGATTAAAAGATTTCTTGCTCCCAAACCAATTGTATATTTCATTACAAAAAGCAGTTATACCATACTATGTTTAGGTAATGAATTATATCCTCAAAACAAACGCACACATAAATAACAAAGGAAAATACATAATTTAATAAATCCACAATATGATAACATTTTACAGATTCATTTAATAAACTTTTACAAAACATAGGTTGATGTTATATCAGGGGGAAAAATACATATTTAAACATTTCAATTATTCTCTGCATATTTAAGTAATGCTAGTTTATATAACAGATGAACAGATGTACAATATCCAGAAAGTAAGTGCAAAAAATATATATGATGTGTGCATTTCCAACATATCCTCTGAAAGAGTGTTAGTCGTTGAGTTGAGTAGTGAGCCATTCGTTTTTTTCGTGGTGCGATATCTGCTGAGAAGTCCTTGTATGCGTCTCCCGCTCTAACGTAGACTGGAAGTTTACAAGCACACACTCAATGAACCGGAAATGGAATTACGTCATCCCGTGGATCATCCAATGAGCGCGTAGCTCTTATCCGGAAGAAGTGGATCGGGACATACCCTAAATGTGATTGGACAATTCGAAACCTCGTACCCAGAGTTCAATGCAGTATATTAGCGGGATTTTTGATCGCTGGAGAGTGGAGATATATTTATTTTGAAGTTGAACGCATTATCACTGATTTTTCTATTTGTATGTTGTATCAGCTTTACCAAGATTCAATAACTAGTTGTGGAATAGATATAGATGGCAAACAAAATGGGTTTCGCTCTCTTTGACTTTTTTAATGAGAATGCGGTTGACATCGGCAAGGTTTCGTGGATCCAAGAGCCTTCGTCTTTGACAATGGAATCCGTGTCGGAGAATGAAACTTGTTAAAGTGGCGTGGCCCAAAGGCGGAGTGGAGGGGAGCGATATCCAATTGTCGCTGGCTAAGGTGGTCAAGTTTGCAGGTAAGCAGAATCCACACAATAAATATATATCTATCTATAGATGTTTTAATAGAGCTATGTCTAAATAATGTATCCTCACTCATAGCTTCGTTTTTATGAAATAATATTGGAAATAGTATATGAGCTTTATAATATCGGAAATTACTCACACTTTTGAGATCAATCTGAATCTGCTCTGAATCTTTTGAGATCAATCTCTGCTCTGAATCATGGAACCAAAAGTCCCACATATCTTGCGTGTCTGGAAAAAGTTATTTGGCATTTTTAGGGGGGGCACTTGTTTTGCCAAATAACTTTAGCTAATTCCAAAAAATCTAATTAGTGTGTGGTCCGACTGCTGCATTACACAAATAAGCAGTCAACAAGTAATATTGAAGTATTGTGCAAGAATTTACCTACATGTAACTGTCTTAATTGACTTAAGACTAAATAAACGAGGCGCCACAATAGAATGGAATGGACTAGATCTATAATCCTATAAAGCTTGCTATAGATGAGGCTGCGTGTGTAGTATACGGGGAATGGAGTAAATTGTCCAGTACATTTTGTGGTAATTAATCATTAGAAGAAACAAATGTTGGACAAAAAGTGTGTGTGCTAGCCGGTGAGAAACATTGATATTTGTAAGCACCCTGAGGGTCCCAGTTAGACTGCAATGTCTATATTCTCAGACTACCGGGATCGATGTATGTACATATATAGGCACTCCTGTATATATTATATTATTATTGTTCTTTTCAGCTCAACGTAAGCAGCTTCTGCGGCACAGGGACGAGTTTGTGCGGTTAGGCAGTGCAGAGCTGCAGTCACCGGAACTGGGCCGAGGGAAGAGAGAACCGAAGAGGAAGCTCTCGGACATCGAAGACCATGATGTAATTTAATTTGTTTACATTTCTCCATTTTAGATTTGGTGGTTTGTGTTTGTCTGCATCATACTGTCAGTCATATGCAGTATATGGCAGTTTAATAAACGTGTTTATATATAATTTATAATTGCATCCTAGTTTTAGGAGTGTACTGCCATGGTGCTTGGGTTTCATCTAACGTACCCTAACGGCCTGTTTAATTAAATTGTGGAAGTGAGATACAGTTAATATAGTGTCTAGCTTTTGAGGAAATCAGTTAATCCATAGCAACATTTCACCATATTACATTATATTCACTATTTATAACTTATATTCATCAGCCATGACAAGTTGCATATATATAAGGCAATACATTTATTTCTATGTTATAGGAAGAACCATCCCTTCCCAAACCACCTTCAAACGCTGCCAAGAAGAAGAAGACAATGAGCAGCATGACATCATCGGTATTGGAACAGCTGAAGGTAAATATATATATATATATATATATATAAGCTCAACTAAGTGGAGTGTACTCTCAATACAATAGTAAGCATGCAACTCACTATTGTTTATGTTATGTACTATGTATTATCATTTTATGTCCGCGGTCCAATAAATAAAAAAACATATATACAATATCTATTTACAAGGGTAGAACTTCAAGATAATTTACAACTCGCCAGCAGGACTAGTGGTTTTTGAAATTCTGATACTCGTGCATATGGCTACATTGTTGTCAGCGTAGTGGTATTGCAGGGTGTAATGGTAACACATATAGAAGAAGTATAACTTTTGTGCCGTTTGACACCATTATATTTGGTTATATACACCATTAAACACCAACATTTCTGGTACCTTTATTTGTACTTTGCTTATGTATGTAGGTGTGTATGTATTTATGTAAGTATGTCTACCCAAAATTGTGTCATGCCATGGGCAAAAAGAAACATCACCTAGTTTTAAATAATTAATAAATATTTATTTGCAGGAAAAGTATTCACACAGCCACGACAACAGTGGACCGCCCGAAGCCGCATGTTCGCATCCCGACCAGGAATGCCGCAAATGCAAACTACTTCAACAACAAATAGACATCCTTGAGGAGGAGAAAGCTACATTGCTGGCGTCATTGAGAATGAACAAAAGTAAGTGTTCAATTTCACTTATTCAGCATTACAGATAATTGTTTTATTACATTGGGGGGAAGACAGTCTGGCGGGTCTGATCGCAGTAGCAGTCCAAAACATGGAGGATGGGTGATTTGCATTATTTCTGCTAATGCATGAAAACTGAATGCTGTTGTGTTCCAAAACCTTTATATATAAAATGTTTATGAATATGTTTTAAGTTTACATTAGAAAAAATATGTACTTCGAACCCATGTCTGAAATGTGCCAATGAATATTTCCAGTCGCTGGAGATGTTGTTGCCAAATTGGAGCTGCTATGTCACACGCCAGCTCCAAAGCTGCCAGATATGACAATGCCCATGAGGACACCTCCAAGTCCCTTCAATCGAGAGTCAAGTACACTAAGGTAAATTAATGAGTTTTAAATTTTTTATGAATAATTATTACTGTCTTTTGGGCTTCTGTTATAATTGTAACGATTCTAGTACACACTGGATTTTGGTTGTACATGTCTCTGGGCCATGCAGTGTTTAATTATTTACAACAAACCAGCTTTTTCTGTTTAACTCTTTCGGCGCGGCAGGCGACTAGTCGACGTTTGACCTTAATGCACTCGTGGCCTACATATATGAATGGAATATATATATATCAAATATATATATATATATATATGAACTAAATATATACATATATGAAATACATATTATTTGAAATACATATATGAAATATCCAGCGCTGAGCAATGCACAAAAAATATAAAATTAGCGCCAAAAGGGTTGAGCACATTTTTCTAACAAACACTGCATACTATTGGGATGTGAAGTTAATTAGTTATTACCTTGCGTGCCTTACAGAGATGGAGATGATGGAGATGCATCGGTTGCTGGTTCCCCATCAGCAAAAAAGGTAAGGAATTATCTTTTCAATTTGATGTTTCCGCTAAGTAGGAAGAGAATTCCAGATGTATTACTTCCAAACCCATCAGCTGGACTAGTGTCATGGTGCAGTGCCTGTGTCAATTTGTATATTCAATTTTAATTATATCAAAATTGAGCCTCCGTGGCGAAGTGGTTGGTACCGTCAGCAGCAGATCAATTCAAAAGAGTAGAGAATTGTTTAATCATTCATTTCATTATTCCAGATCTCTTAATTGGCCTGGAGATTGTGCAAAATGGTGGCCTAAAGATCCATTTCGCCATCACCATTATAATATACGTTGAAATTCCAATATCATCCACCTACTGTAACCTATAGCAGCATAAATTCCGATTGCAAACTCCAATATCATCAATTGTAATACCTGCTTCAGTCTGTGTGGATATTAGATGGTACATTATTATTATATATATATATATTTTTTTTAATTATTATTATTATTTGTTACTTGTCACAGTCAATTAATAAAATACAATATTATGCTGTTGGATTTCATTGCAGTTCCCAATAGCAAAGTGGCAGATTAGGCGATGTTCGACCACCTCGCTGCAGAAATTCATCAATGACCTCCTCCATGGCCTGTATTGCACAGAGTACATGGCCAAGCACTCACTTACTGGCTACAAGGCCAGTAAGGAGTCTGATGCTGGCAAGAGGAAGGACAGCATTCCACAAGAAGAGGTTGCTGAAATAATTGGTAAGATTTGTTGATATGTAGCAATAGTCCCAGCTAACAAATTTACGTATTAACTACGTAGTTACAACGTAGTGGTTTAGTAGAATTTCTGGACTGCCAGATACGTTTTTTTACTACGTAGTGAAATTACCAAATGGGCACTTTCTCATGACCTTTCGGCTTCCCCTGCAAATGTTTGTTTCTACTTTGTGCTAAACTTTGCTTCACATATCCTCCATGTTCTATGACTATTAAAGAAACATGTCATATTTTATCAAGACATGTCGTAGTTCCCGCTGTAAAAGCGCAAAATCTGAACAAAGATCGTACCAAAGATTCCAACTGCCAAACCGCCATGCAACTGCTCTATACATTGTGTGCAGTGTGCACACTTGTTCAGTTTACTTTAGTAAAATGTATTCTAGTTTTCACACAATTTTCACATACACATACAAAAACTAATAATTTTGTTCTATGGAGAAAATTGCTTCTATGCATTAATTAAATAACGTTAAAATTAACTAATATGTACAAAAACAAATCTCAGATCACCAAATAAACATCTACGTGTCCTTGTTACGTATTCACAACGTAATATAACTACGTAGTTGGCCTAACGTTGCTGAAGTACGTGCATAAACATGTACTATGTAAATACTACGTATTTTCAAGACATTACCTAAACGGTACCTAACCACTACGTCATATATACGTAGTGTGTTAGGTGGGAGTATGATGCAACTTGGCAAATAAAGTAGATTTATATTGAAATCATGTGCAAGTTGAAATCTTCCAAGTACATGGTAGTTATACATATTTTGTAGTGTAGTGGAAAACAATGTTGTGATGCTGGGAATTAAGTGAACTATTTGTAGAGTTTCTGTGTAGTAATATATAGTCATAAATCGACCATCTATTATAATATGAATACATGTACTGATTAAATTACTATTTATATTAACCATTGCATTAAAAAAAATTGATTGATTTATTACTCATGAATCAATATTCTTTGGTGAATAGCTTTAATGCAAATTTCAATATATTATTCTGTTATAGCGGCAGCAAAACAAATCTTCGCCACCAAGACGGACATGGAGGTACGGCTGGCCATCCGCCAGAAACTGAATGGGGCTGCCAAAGTGGTCTCGGCGAGGAAAGTGGCAACACCTCCAGACGCCAGCCAATAGATTCATCATTCATTTCATTATCCCAGAAGGTCTCTTGGCCCAAATTCGCATAACTTGCGAAAAAGTAGCTTACCGGCATAACAATATTATATTAAACCTTGTATATTGGGATATAATAAATAAATATAAATAATAAATGTATATAGCCCAATGTTCTATTACATTTATGCTCAGTTTGTATGCTCTAATCTTGGTACTTTTAACACACATGCTTATTTAAGGTACTTTATATTTGCTTGGATAGTAACATATTTTACTCACTGCCATGCTTCACAATTTTTATTGTATTCTGATGTAAATGCTCCAGAATTTCTGTGACTGCATCTGTATGTATACGTTGATCACTTTTGTTATGTAACTAATTATCTGTTACAACTGGAGATTAAAGCTAAGTGACATAACAATAGCTATTGTTAGTGTGAGTCTGTTACAAACAACTCATTGGAGTCTGCAGTACTCTACTCTGTTTTTCAGTCTATTATATGGCATGTAACACATAATTACTGTGGGGCATTCTCTAAAACATGTATCAAATATATAGCTGTATGTGACTCAATATCAGGCATTGCTATATAATTCAATATTCTATATAATGTCACAACACATGTGGTGTTAGCTATAGAAGATTCTGTATTGTCCATTCATATTGTAGAGCTTATTCTATAGAGTACAGAGCAGTTATATAGAAAACATCCATGGATTTTCTATAGATTATTTATGGAATCTATAGGAAAATCTATAGGTTAATTCTATAGAATTTCTACACCAATCCTGTACTGTTCTGCAGAACAATTTTATAGAAAACAATAGCAATTTTCTATATGATTCTATAGATTATTTGGTGGAATCTATAGTAGAATCCATAGGTGAATTCTATAGAATATTTGCCACTATCCTGCAGTATATTCTACAGAAATTCTATAGAAACATCAATAGATTGTTCTATAGATTATTTTGAAGAATCTATAGTAAAATCCATAGGTAAATTCTATAGAATATCTGCAAAAATGCTATAGTATTCCTCAAAGAAGTTCTATAGAAATATCCACAGATTCTATAGAATATAGGTCACTAATTCTATAGTTTTCTACAGAATGGTATTCTACAGAACACTTCTATAGAAAGCATCCATGGGTTTTTCTATAGGATTCTATAGATTATTTTCTACAAAAAAACCATCTACACAGTATATATTTTCTATAGTACTATATTCTATAGATTATTTCCCAGAATCTATAGTAACATTTCTATAGTATATCCGCAAAAATCCTGTAGTATTCTACAGAACATTTCTATAGAATTCGTCCATAGATCTTTCTATAGTATTCTATAGATTTTTTTGCTAAGGGTAGGACTGTCTTAGGGAAGACAGCTTTTAGATGCGCAGCTCCTCTGTCTTGGAATAGTCTGCAAATTAAATGGAAACTGAATAATCTGGTGCCACTAAATGTTTTTAAAGCTCTGTTGGATGCTACTCAATCGGAAGCTATTGGTACCTGTTTATGTGGATAGTTATGTAAATGATGCTGTATGATGTCCTTTTGTTGTTCTATTTATGTTTCATGTGGAACTACTTGAGCAGATCTCCCTTGAAAAAGAGATCAATGATCTCAATGGGATTTATCTGTCTAAATAAAGATTTGAAATTAAATTAAATTAAAAGTAAGCAGAGGACACCAAACCAACTGAGACCCGTCTGTCCGCCGCATCTACGCACTGTACAACACACACCTACATACACCACACACACACACACACACACACACACACACACACACACACACACACACACACACACACACACACATACACACTGCCTACAACACACACTTACAGCTCCTAAAGCATAATCAGGCTACAGCCGTTGTGTATTTTATTATGTGACGCACTAAATGGTCTTAGAAAAATATCGACTCTTTGTACTACAGCAAATAAAGAGAGTAATGTAGGCCTGTTATACTGAGTGATATTGTACACTGCTCTGCTTTCTGCACGGACCCCACAGCTGTTCTCACTGTAAACATCGCAATGCGATGAAAGCAGTTTCTAAAATAATATCCAGAGGATGCATGCAGAGCTGTCATTGGCTGAGATAAGTCCGGCCGTGCGTCACGCCTCCACCGTTCCCGGAAATGCATCCGCGGAGGAGCCGTGGAGGAACCATCAGTGTATCCTCGGTTATAGCTCCTCCAGAGCAATATGGTCTAGCTGCGGCCGCGGCCAGTACACGGCGGTACACGATGGTACACGACACGCCCACCTGACACGACACTACGGTGGCTGAGAGGCACCACCGTTAAAAGCGAATTGACGAGATTTACATCATACAGCCCATGTAGTATAAACATTGATTTTAATTTCTTACTGTAGGAGGGGTTTTGGGGTTTAGGAGGGAGGAAGGAAGGAAGATTAGGATTAGGTAAAAAGGTAGGGAGTGGTTAGGGTTAGGATGGGGGGAAGGGAAGGGTTAGATTGAAGGGAGGGAAGAGAACTGCTACCCGGGAACGTTCATACTGGGTAGTTTATTTAGTTTAAAAAAAATTATCCAACTAGTTAGAGACCACAAAGGAAGTGAAGTACCGCCGTTTGGCCACAAGACTCCGGCGCACTCCTGGGGGCTTGGTTCAACCTCCACTGTCCACGGCCGCAGCTAGACCCTTCTCAGCCTCCGTAGTGTCGTGTCAGGTGGGCGTGTCGTGTACCATCGTGTACTGGCCGCGGCCGCAGCAAGACCCTTCTCCTCCAGAGAGCCTCCTCGACGCTTGATCCTCGGTCCTCGGTGTGCATTTAGAGAAATGAGACGTCCTTCAAAATGGCGCGCTGAAATTTATTTCCGGGTCACTACCGGAGGACCGAGGAGTCGAGGAGGGGACATTTGAGTATTGAGAAGCCTCTAATGACAGCTCTGCATGCATCCCCTGGATATTATTTTAGAAACTGCTCTCATCGCGTCGCGATGTTTCCAGAGAGAACAGCTGTGAGGTCCGTGCAGCAGAGCAGTGTGTATAATATCACTCAGTATAACAGGGCTACTCTCTTTATTTGCTTTAGTTTAGTAGATAACTACAAACAAAGAGTCGATATTTGTCTAAGACCATTTAGTGCTTCACATAATAAAATACACAACGGCTGTAGCCTAATATGCTTTAGGAGCTGTAGGTGTGTGGTACAGTGTGTGTTGTACTGTGCGTAGATGCGGCGGACAGACGGTCTCAGTTGGTTTGGTGTCCTCTGCTTATACAACTACAACTTTTGGCCCGTAATTTCAATTCCCCATTTCAGCGACCAGAGAGAGGGGGGGATATATCCAGTCTCTGATTGTGTTACGTTATTATGAGAGTGCTCTCATACTTTAAATTGTATATATTTATATAAATATATTTGTGTGTGTGTGTCCGCATCTGTAGCCTGTTATTGTCTCATTATACCGCACTCTCAATGAATTCAAAGTAAATATGTGGGGGAACAATGTTCAGCTGATCTAACAGAGATTATAAAATACAGCGCTATGACAAAACACTCGACAGCTGATGCAGCTGTTGCCACGTAATAATGAACTGACGTCGCTTTAATATGACCAGTGCTGGAATTGGGCCGGTACTCACCGGTACGCAGTACCGGCACTTCTGGTTCTGACCCATGGAGTACCGGCACTTCTTGCTCAGTACCGGCATGCTGGCGGTACTCCGGTACTCATGCACCGTGCCAGTACTCAACACTCTCCCGCCGTTCTTATTATACATCCATATATATATATATATACAGCCGCCCGGTACTCAGTAGATGCGTCATGAGGTGCCGAACGGACATTCTCATCGCTCTAACCGCTGGAGTTTCACAGCGACTGTCAGCTGTTTACTCCTGTCATTCAAACAGAAAGTGCTGGAGAGGGGGCGGGGCTTATCTTCTCCATGTAAATACTGTGGTGGAAACCACTGTCAAAATTAACCTATTTGACCGTGATTTAATAGTAATACACGTTTCAAAATAATAATAATAATAATAATAATGCCGAAGTAACAACATACTGAAAACTGTTAGTAAAACCATGTTTTAATGCTTTACAATTTACATACCTAGATGCACGTGTGTTGTGTTTATGCAGTGCAACTCCCACCCAGTGGGTGGCTATGTAGAGTGATAGAACAGAGCAGGCACGCCCCGAGAGAAGGAAAGCAAGTCACGTCACAAATTAGCATTTCTAAAATGTTAGCGTGGATTAATAAAAGTGCAAAAAGACAGCGGTTGTCGCCGGAAGAAACTTCAAATACAGAGAATGCTGTGCCTGTGTTGGAAATTGTGTCTGATGGGGAGCTTTCTTTGGTTGATCCTCCTGCTCCAAGTTCTAGTGCATTAGCATTAGCACTAGCTCCGCCGCCTCCTCCAGAGCCTCTAACGTTAGCTGCTGCTGGCTCAACTGCCACCACCAACACCGGGCAAAGCGATGCACCTGACTGCTGGACAACGGACCAGGTGCAATATTTTTGCAAGACCAATGCATGGCTCCTTCTTAAAGATAAGAAGCTAGGATGTCGGATATGCAGAGATGTCAAATCTTTGGGAATACACACTGGACAAGGACTGAAACTGTCAACTGAATGGGGTGAGTGTGCAGTGTCTCATTTCGGTGTTGACAAGGGCAAACAACAAGCTAGCCTGAGAAAAAAAATCAAAGAACATAAAGAATCACAAGCCCATGTAAAAGCTGCTGACATCCTTACATCTGCTTCACGTGAAACTATTCAACATCAAGTGCAGTCTATGCATAAATCTGAATTAGACACCACTATCAGAGTTTTTCGAACGGCATATAACATTGGCAAACATAGCCGGCCATTCACAGACATGCCTATTGATTTGAATGTACAGAAACTGAATGGGCTGAACGTGGGCAGGGTTTTGCACTCCAATAAAACCTGTGGCGAAATCATCGACCACATAGCTCATGAGCTGAAGAAAAAAATGGCAAAAGACATTACAGAAAACCAAAGAAAACTCTG